TAGGTTGTTATTTGTTCGGAAAGCTGGTGTTATTCCTTTCTTTTTTATGTGTTTGGCAATTTTTGTTGTTATTTTGCCTGTATATGTAATCGAGCAGAAGGTACCGAGTTTTTCCTCTGGTGGTGGAAATACTAATTTCAGGGCTTTCTTATGTAGATTTTGATTTAACATTTTATGAATTGTTTGTTTGTTGTATCCGTTGTTTACTGCTATTTGCTTAATTATATTTAATTCCGTCTCAAAGTTGTATTTTGACATCGGAATTTCTGTTAATCTATGTAACATACTATAATAAGCTGCCAATTTATGTTGTGTTGGATGGGATGATGAATTGTGTATAGTCGTGTCAGTATTGGTAGGTTTATGAAATATGAAGAAGTCATGTTTGTTTTGAAGTCTGCTAATTTTTAAATCTAAAAAAATTATGGATTGTGTTTGTCTTGAAGTCTGCTAATTTTTAAATGAATTAATAAATGAACAAACATGACTTCTCCATATTTCATAAACCTACCCATACTGACACGACTATACACAATTCATCATCCCATCTAACACAACATAAACTGGCAGCTTATCATAGTATGTTACATAGATTAACAGAAATTCCGATGTCAAAATACAACTTTGAGACATAATTAAATATAATTAAGCAAATAGCAGTAAACAACGGATACAACAAACAAACAATTAATAAAATGTTAAATCAAAAACTACACAAGAAAGCCCTGAAATTAGTATTTCCACCACCACAGAAAAAACCCAGTACCTACCTTCTGCTCGATTACATATACAGGCAAAATAACAACAAAAATTGCCAAACACATAAAAAAGAAAGGAATAACACCAGCTTTCCGAACAAATAACAACCTAGGCAAATATATTAAAAATAACAAGAGCCAAAATAAAAAACACTTAAATAGTGGTGTGTACAAACTTTAATGTGGCGACTGCCCAAAAACTTACATCGGTCAAACTGGTAGAAACTCTGATAAACAAATAGCAGAACATAAAAGGGCTTTCAAGAATAGAAAAACAGATTCGACATACGCACTTCACCTTCTAGATCATAATAATTCTTTTAATGACAAATTCAAAATTCTTCACATTCAAAATAAAGGCCTTAAGCTATCTTTGTTAGAATCTATGGAAATCAACAAATTAAAAAACACAGATATAATTCTGAATGACCAACTTAAGACAAACAGTTCTCCCCTCCTCAACCTATTTCATTAGAGACTATAAATTTGTAAACCCAAGCCAAAAATAGATCACTTAGAAAAGGCAATTAGCCGAAACAGCTGTAGTGATAAGATTTAAAATAAATTTTGTGGAAGTTTGAAAACAAAGTTTTCAGTGTTTTATTGTTACATAAAATGAATTTCCATCAAGTAACTGTCGAATCCATCAATTAAATAATATATACCTGACTAAAAAGATAATCATCATCATAATTCTGGCTTTACAACAGTGTGTTGTATTCCATATTTCTCATGTCTTCATCGATGTTATTAAGGAACCTTGTTCTAGGTTTTCCTCTTCTTCTCTGACCAATGGGTCAGTAACGGGGCGTTGTTCTAGCTAGGTCATTTTGTTCCATCCGCATTACATACCCTATTCACCTCAGACATCCTATCTCAAATGTTTTACAATATCAGGTTCCTGTTATTTTCTATGAAGGTCGAAGTTGTATCGTCTTCTCCATACTGCATTTTCATTCACTGCTCCATAAATTCGTACGTTTCTTTCTGAAAATCCTAACATGATTTCATTATTTTTTGTTAGAGTCCAGATCTCTGAACCATATGTTAGGACTGGGCATTATTGTGTTGTAAAGTTTTATTTTTTATAGTTTATTCGTCTTCCGGGTTTGGACCGTGTCATTTGTGAGTGACCCAAAAGTAGGTTCATCTCGACGTTTCGCTACAATTGTATGTAGCTTCTTCAGGAGAATAAAGAAAAAAGAAATCAAAAGACAGGAAGATGGGTAGTTAGCAACGGTAACTCAGTTATTTAACGCAACCAGAGGTGAATACTAACTACCAAGATAAGCATTTGGTCACAGTAACTCAACTACTTAACGCAGCCAGAGGTGAAAACCAAATGCCAGGACAGGGATTCACGTCCAACAGCTCACGTTTTATTTTTGTAGTTGTCGATATACTTGTGGATTTAACCCGTCATTGTTCGGGTGGTGAGCGCAGTGCTCAGTTGGAATTATTTTTAAGGCTACAAAAGTATTCAGGAAACAACCGTCATTTAGACTCAATGTAATCTCTAATGGTCGTATGTAGGAGGCACTTATGTGTAAAAACATTGCCGGCAAGCATAAATGCCCCACCACTAAGTATTTATTTCTTGTCCGGTCATAAGCTGAGCGGCGCACTTAGTACGCGAACAACCGTGGAAAGAATTTGTTTTATTTGAGTCTTGCGTTTTTTATTATGGATTCGGCCCGAGAGAGCCAATTTTGTCGTGGTTAAAAGAAATTGAAGCAGAGGAGAATGAAAATAACCCTGGTTTACAAGATGAAGAAGACAGTGGTATCGACCAGTGTGAAAATTTTAGGCCATAACACAGAATCCGAATTGTCAGCAGATTCTGATGACAATTATGTGGCTTCTATTTGTCGTAAAAGTGATCCAGTTTATCTTGGAAAAGATGGTATAACAAAATGAAGCGAAAAAGCGAAAAACCAGTAGCGCACGTAGGCACAACATAGTTACTCGTCTACCAGGTGTAAAACAAATAGCGAAAAATATGTTACCATCAATTGAATGCTGGAAATTTTTTTTCTCTAACGAAATGATAAATGAAATTGTGCAACATACCAATATGTATTTAGTGAAATTGCGCAACCAGTTTTCTCATAAAAGGGATGCAGTATGTACCAATAGTGATGAAATTAGAGCACTATTTGTCTTATTGTACTTAGCTGGTACTTTCAAAGCTTCTCATGTAAATCTGGACGATCTTTGGGCTACAGGTGGAACAGCTCCTGAACGTTTTCGGACAGTTATATGTCAAAGAAGCGATTCTATATCCTCCTTCGTGCACTACACTTTGACGATATCTAGTCCAGAGCAGAACGACGAAAGTGTGACAAACTTGTGCCCATTAGAACAGTTTTCGACGAAATTTTAGAAAAGTACATGGCTTGCTATAAGCAGCCATGCACTGCCGGCAGTAAGTCGGCAAAATATGGGATAAAAATGTTCGCACTTGTTGATTTGCAAACATTTTATACAGCAAAATTGGAAATATATGCTGAAAAGCAGCCAGAGGGACCTTTTGAGATAGATAATAATCCTAGTAATGTGGTTAGACCAATGATAGAACCAATTGCCCATACTGACGCAACATTACTTGCAACAACTGGTTTATGTCCATTCCACTGGCTACTGACTTGCTACATAATTACAGGATAACTCTAATAGGAACCCTGAGAAAGAATAAACCACAAATTCCTCCTCTTTTTGTAGATACAAAAGGAAGACCAGTAAACAGCAGCATTTTTGATTATGGAAAAGACTGTCTTTTACTATCATACGTTCCCCCAAAAAAAAAAAGAAAAACAAAAATGTTCTGATGTTACCTACGTTTCATGATGATGACACAATTGATGAAAAAACAGGTGAAAACTTTAAGCCGCAGGTTATAACCTTCTACAATACGTCAAAGGGAGCAGTGGATGTTGTGGACGAGATAAAATGTAATTACTCTGTTTCTTGAATAAGTTGCCGATGGTCACTTACAGTCTTTTTTTCATTGACGAATATTGCAGGAATACAAAGTCAGGTAATTTACTATAGCAATACTAATACTAAATTAGAACGTAAATATCTAAGAGAAATTAGTACAGATCTCATCAGACCCCACCTGATAAGTCGTGCATCAATAACAACATTGCCAATATTATTACGACTTTCAATAAGGCGCATAAGCATGTCTTCCTGATGAAAAAACTTCAGTAGCAAGTGCAGAAACTAAAGATAGAGTCAATTGTTTTTACTGTCCCCGAAGTGTAAATAGAAAAACCACTTCAAGGTGTGCATTGTTTTGTGATGAATACATAATTACAATATGTCAAATATATCGCAATAAATGAGAGTGAATATAAAGTGTTTACATTTCTTTTGTTATACAATTTTTTCTATATGTACTATTTCATTAATAAAAAGTACATACATTCATGTTATTTATTACTAATAAAATTTTTAAAGAACCAGTAACCGACTTTTCAGTTTCGTTAATTATTAAATATCTTAATAAAATATAATTAAATGAGAAGAAAATAGCGACAATCGCGTCATTTCCTGATACGCAAACAATGACGGGTTAAGGAGGAGATTGAGCCAAAATAGCATCTGTTGGACTTGCAAATTCTGCGGTTTATGTCTGCGGCAGTATTATTTTCAGTGATAAGGAGCGTTCCCAGGTATAAAAATTCGTTCACCGCTTCGATGACGTCGTTTTCTATAATAAGTGGTCGTAGTATTTGTGGTTGCTTGCTTATTATTATATACTTCGTTTTATTGGTGTTTCAACAATCTGGAGTCAAATTGTTGAAACAAGACAATTATTTAAATTAAACTTGTATGATTTTCTTGTGTCAATTTTATGTGTAAAAGCTACATAATTTACGGAAACATTTTTTTTTAAGGGATATGTTTATTTGTATAACAATTTTCAAAGTTATTTTATCCTTATATTTTAATTGTATTGCACAAATTTGGATTCTTTTAATTACTCTCTTCTACTCCATTGATAATCGAACACTATAAAAAGTTAAGGTATTTCGGAACCCAAATAAGAACCCAGAGATAAGAAAAGATATAATTATTAATTTGACGTCTATAATAAAAATTAATCACCATGTTCATAATAAAATTCAATTCATGTAATTTTTGTTGTTTTTGGTTTGCTAATAATTCAATTTTGTTATTAATCAGATAATTTGCTAATATAATTTTGAAAAGATATATATTGGAATCTAAACTTACTTTTGCCTTCCACATAAACCAAAACTTGAAAACATCACATTTTCTTCCACACTGCAGATATTTATCACCTAAGTCAAAACTTCTGTCATAATGCTTGTCTTTCTGAAACAGATACTCAGCTCCTCTTGAAAAACACTGATATAAAATATCCGTATCTCGTACAAGCAGCAAAGAGCATTGTTGTGGAACAGCTAAAAGTTTATGAGGATTTACAACCTGAAATAAAAGATTGTAAAAATTGAGTCTGCTTTTTATGTCAATAATATATTTAATATATTTATTTTTTCATTGCTTTTTAAACTTAAGACAAAACCAATTATTAGTGGTAATTGCCTTATGTATTTTTTCGGCAAGTGCATTCGTCTTCAGGCTTACCTAAGTGAAGGTAACGGAATATGGTTCAAATTGAATGGCTGTGACTAAAAGTCCTGTAACTGACTACAGGTGATAGTTCATGGAATAAAACGATGCAGTAGTATTCTTACTAATACTCAGTGTGGCTAAAGACACATAGAACATGGCTATTGATTCAAATCATGATGATATAAGTTAGATCTTGTATTGTTGAAGTAAATCTAACACATAAACATTAGAGCGAGGAAGTCCATTTACTCATTTGGGATAAGATATTCGAAAAAAAAACTTTGAGTAAAAGTTCGATCTTTTTTTAGTATTTGAAGTGCCAGATTGCATGGTAATTACAAAAGCCCAACAACGCCAAGAAAACATAACAATACATGGAAAACAAATTAAAAAAGTTGAAAAATATAAATATCTGGGTACAATAATTAATGAAAATAACGAGTACACAGAAGAGATTAAGGCAATAATAGGACAGGCAAGAAATTCTTTTAACAAACTGAAAAAGTACTCTGTAGCAGGGTATGCACCGGTCTGGAGTGGACCTACCGCATGAGTAGCCTGTATAAAGGGGGTGGACTTTAGTTGGCAGGCAGGGAGCTATGGGTGTATCTGTGAGCACGACTCCTCTGGGGGGACTGCGTGCGGATGGATCCTTCCACCCTGAATCTAACACACGCTCATCCTTAACGGGACACGACCTGGTACGATCTTTAGAAGATTTACCACCAAAAAAAACTCTGTAGCAGGGATATTTTAATTTCTTTAAAAATAACACTTCTGAAAGGCTAAGTGTTCTACGTATTATTTTATGGGTTGGAGGCTTGGACATTCACGAAATATGTTTCGGACAGATTAGAAGCCTTCGAGTTATGAGCCTACAGAAGTTGGGTGGATAGAGTCACGACTATCGAGGTGTTGAAAAGAATGGGAAAAGATAAAGAGGTTTTAGATACATTTAAAGTCAGAAAACTGCAATATCTGAGACATGTCATGAGGGGCAAGCGTTATAACTTGTTGCAATTACCAATGCAAGAAAGAATACAGAGTAGAAGGAGTCGAGAAAGAAGACGAAATTTGAGAGCTTGGTTTAACTACACTTCTGCTAACCTATTTAGAGCAGCGGTGTCGAAAGTGCGAATTGCCAAGACGGTCCTTAGAAGAGATGGCACATAAAGAAGAAGCAGAAAATTGGTTTCACTATTGCAGATTGATTTCTATTAGATCCTAAAGAAAATGGACCTGGAACATTAAACGATGGTCTATTTATAGACCAAATAATAAAAGAATACTGTGTTTAACGCTGTCAGAGAACCAAATAGATAGTAAACTAGTAATGTAGTAATCTAGTTTGATCATAAAATTTTACACTGCTGATAAATCCAATAGTAGAAATTTCTGGCAGCTACAGTAGGGGACTGACAATCGATTGCGAACTAATTTCAAACAAAAGTAACCTATCTGACTTTTCGTCAGATAATTATAATCCGAAGAGGACCTAACTTTTAGTAGTTCTTCCTGCTGTTCTTCTTCTGAGATTGAGCTCTAGCGATATAACATCAGAATCAGAGGATAAAAATGAACTAAAAAAATAAGTAGGTTATTTAAAAAGATGTGACGTAAATTTACAGATATTCTAAAGCTATTTTTCTTTAAATTAGGAAACTCATTTTCAAAACCAAATTCAGATTTTTGCTTTAATTTGTGTTTTCTAAGAATTGCAAGCAAAACAGATGTTTATAAAGATGTTATTAGCCTTGAAATTCTTAGACGGCACAGATTAGAGCAAAAATCTGATTTTGGTTTCGAAAATCAGTTTAATATGAGATGTCGCTATTTGCGTTCATACAAAGCCATGTTAGAGTTGCTTTCTAAGACAGAAAAAAAATCTTTTCACGTTCACAGTGACTATGAATTGCCGTTCTGACGACACCTATTAGGCCGAAATACGTATAAGCGGATACATAGAGGCACTCTACGTGAGATCAAGTCTTAACTGCCTTTTTCTTTCTATTTTTGTTTCTTTTAAGGTGAAGGCCCTCAGAGGAAAAACAAAACAGAAACACTATATTTATAATACGCAAGTGCAAGAAAAATTATTGTAATACAACAAACCGGCATATCTATGTTTCGTAAATCTTAAGAAGGCATTTGATCGGGTCAAATCAAAGAACGTTATCCACTTATTGTTCTCAAGAGAGATACCTTAGAGGTGTAACGATAATATTTTGCCTACCACAGGGGGCATTAATACAGGGGATAGAAAATTGGGGGAAGAAACTATTGGGGGTGGAGATAGGGCAAGCAAAATAATCGCTACTGATGCGAACGGCACTCAGGGTTTCGTAGGAGAACTGCGGTCGTGGATAAGTAAAAGATAAGGGCATTGGAATGGGGCAACTACAAAAAAATGAAATAAAGGGCTCTTGGGATAAACAAAATAAAAATAAACAAGAAACACCTCAAGGAATTTAATATAGGGCGCCACTTGAGGTGCCTAATTATACCTATTACAACCACTAGTTGTAACTAGGGAAATAATTAGAAAACAAAATCAAAACATAAAAAACATATCTTTTTCAAATAAGAATCAAAAAAAAGGTTTGGCTCAAAAAAATTAATAAAAAGTTAAGACAACAAAATTTAACATTTATTTATGTGTCACCACAAACAGTTACAAAAGAGAGAAATGCAAAATACAAAAACTTACATGTGTCATCCATTAACAAACTCCATTGCTACAAAACTTACAAAATTGCATGAAGGTTAACCTTTTAAAAAAAAAACAAAACAAATCAACATCAAAAATACTAAAACAAGCTGTCATAAATTAACATTAAATTTAAAAAAAAAAACTAAACACAAATTGACAGCTTTACTCAAAACCTAAAGTTTACAATTTTAAATGTCAACGAAAGCAATTATTATTTCATAAAAAAAATGTCTGTCTTTAGTTTAAAATTTGAACAAAATGTTACCTTAATTCACATGATCACACTTAAGTTTCTGAAACCATAACTGGAACCTGGAACTGAGGACTCCACTCTCTCTGCATCACGAAAATCTCCATCTCCAAACTGCCAAAAGCCTTGGATAAAAAGCAGGAACAAAAAAAACCAAACGAGGATGTCCTTCAATCCTCACTCAAAACATTAATAATTGAAGCATTTACTGCCACAAAACCAATAACAGACTGCTAAATTTTCTTCATAACAAAAGACGAAAATAGAATACTTCACAAATTCGACGTGAATTTGGACATAACGTTGAACCACTCTTGAAAGCTGCTACAACGAGAGTGAAGAAATTCTATTAAAATTGAACGCATACATATAAACGCTGACATAACAAGACACCACGAAACGACGTACATATCCTTTTGCGACGCATTAAAATTGCCGCTTCTAATAAAACAAGAATTTGCCGAGGAAGTTAAAATAAATAAACAACTCTAAAATGGTTTATTTCAACTTGACCGACCTAAGAAAGAAATGAAAAGATATTTGGGTTTAAATACGTACGAAATATTTTTAGATCTATCAAAAATATATAAGGTGATTTTAATATTTCGTATACGAGGGGACTTCAATATACTTAAAAGAATCAATGAAATTGAAAATGCTACAGAGGAATAATAAAAACGATTGAAAGTATCTACCAAACCAACATAAAAGAAGTAAAAGTGGAAAAAAAAACTAACAGGCAGAATCAAAAAAACAGTCATTAGACCAATAATGACATACGCGGCAGAAACACGACACGACACATAAAGGAAAAACAAGAATGTTAGAAACAGTAGAGATGAAAACACTTGAAAGACTTTGAGATAAAAAATTGATGGCAAGAGACTATGGGACAGAGCTAGAAGTCCAGATATACGACACAGATGGAAGGTGGAGAACATCAAGAACTAAGTAAGAAATGGAAGAGTAAAATGGAACGATCATATAAGCCGACAACAAATAGAGTAGTAAAGACGGCAAGAGACTGTTTCCCAATAGAAAGACGATCAGTAGGAAGACCACGAAAGTAATAGAACGACAACTTACTGGAGGTACATTGTGTTATGTTATGTGAACCTACCTTAATATTTGTAAACCTACCTTAACATGGGTGACAGGTGAAGGACATTGACAGCAGACAACAGAAGAAGAAGATGGCTCGTTAGATATAATCATGTATTAAGTTTAGTTGGTCTTTAATAAAAGATATTAAAAAGAAACTGGTCGTCAATCTTATTAAAAGCCCACAGAGACAACGTAACACATTGAAAAACAGACAGTCATGTCTACATAAAAAGAAGAAGAAGAAGAAGCTTTTTTATGTTACTATACTATTATAATATTAAACGTGACATAGTTTCCGTTAAAATAAAAAATGAGTGTCACTTGACTCACCAAAGAATTAGCTCGTTCTATACCGTTGAGTTTTGCCCTGTGTTTTTGCGAGAAAATAAGGCCGCCACCCCATGCAGCGTCGATGTGGAGCCATATGTTGAACTTTTTGCAAATGTCGGCTATTTCATTTATCGGATCGAAGGCACCGCGGACTGTTGTTCCTGTGGATACGTAGAAATGAAATGAAATGTTGTGGATTTATGCCTATAAGTTTTTTGTTAACTGTTTTATATCACTATACACTCTAAAAAACTTGGAAGAATTGTTTTTAAAATTGGCTGTTCATTTATTTTTATTCAGATCGTGAAATTTTTGTGATTACCAAAAAAAATATATTATCTGCAATACACAGGCCTGCAGTGTTTTTGGTTCCTAAGTCTTTAGAGCTGATTTTAGGTATATTTGTGGTGCTGATCCCGAATATGGCTTTAGTTCTGCTCTATCAGCTCTAGTTTTTAAGATAAATTAGGTCATGCCAGCTTTTATGCATTAAAATACGAATATTCTGATATGGATATACTAAATTAAAGTAAAAATCACACAATTAGAAAATACGTATATTTTAAGCCATTTAATTATAATAAAACCCTTTGAACAATGAAACAAATATACAATTAGTTTTAAGAAAAAATTAACAAAATAGAAAAAAAAAATCATGGAATGAACTTTTCAACAGCCTCTTCAAACTCCAGCAAAAGTCTGCCTTCGTATGGGTGTTCCATTTTACTTGGTAGCGGTCCTCTATGGTTTTTATGTCTTAGTGAAATCTCTCTCATTGCTCCTCACCTAAGTTTTCAGGGAAACAGTCCAGGTGGCTGTGAAAAAAGTAAACTTTAATGCTTATATTACATCCAAGTGATTGGAGTTATTTAGCAAAAGTTTACCAGATTAGCGCTGATTTCACTTTTGTGATTTCTAAGAAAACCTTTCATAATATCCACAAATGAAAGCCAAGCTTTCTTCTGCACCTCATTTATTGATCCCACAAAATCCGGATCCTTTGTAAGAAGTTTAACCTGTAGTCCATCAAAGATTCCAGATTTAAGGTTTTTCGTACTTATCTGGAGCAGCTTCCTTCCTATGTAGTCGAAGCATGGTTCATTAGAATCAAGTGCCTTAATAAATTGCTTCATCAGGCCTAGCTTAATATGTAGGGGTGGTAAGATTATGTTCTCTGGTTCGACTAAAGACTGTTCTTAATATTCTTTTGTTCAATTACCAAGTTTTTTCTCTTAGGCCACTCTTTTTTAATCTAATGATTTTTTGAGTCTCTACAATCCCAGGGAAACAAGAATAAGGACATTTTGTGTAGCCATTTTGATACCCAAGAAGAAAGTTGACCATTTTTAAGTCTACACAAATCACCCAACGATGTTCTGCAAAACTAAACCTACTTTAGCACATTCTTCTTTCATTACGGTTGGATGAACAATCGCTATTGAGCCAAACTTATTTCCATTATGAGGCAGAACACATTTCAAACTGCACTTGAAACTATCAAGAAACAAACGCCATTCATTTGCATCGTAGTATGGAAGTTCCATTTTCTCCAAGAGCTTTTTAACGTCAATATAAAAAGTAAGGTTTTCTTCTTGGTTAAAAAAGGTAGCAGTTCCTTTTCCCTTGTTCTATAAAAAGTAATTTTTGTGCCTCGTTCCAGTAAATTTTTATCATTTAATCTTGAAGCCAGAAGTTCCGATGTTTCCTTTGATAAGGTTAAATCTCTAACGAGATCGCTTAGCTTTTCTTGATTAGATAGTTGTGGGTTTGCTGTTGCCCTATCGTAATCACTATCACTATATATTGGAGTCAGAAATATGTTCAAAAATGGAATAACTTTTGGAATATTGGGATCGGTAATTTCTGAAGTGGGGTACTGGGCGTTTGGCTGAAGGCAAATCAGGATATAACCACTTTTGGCGATTGTTTCTATTGATCCCTAAAACACTGACCAGGCAAAAATATCAGACATCAACGTGGTTTGTAGGTTCTTCCCATACTATTAGCATGCTAAACTAAATGTTTTTCTTTTTTCTATGGTCCATTGCCGTGAGTGTTTTTTAACATTGTTTTTGTTAACATTTTTGATAACATGTTAAATCAAAAACTAGACAAGACAGCCCTGAAATTAGTATTTCCCCCACCAGAGAAAAAACCCAGCACCTTCTGCTCGATTACATATATAGGCAAAATATCAATAAAAATAGCCAAACACATAAAAAAAAGGAATAACACTAGCTTTCCGAACAAATAACAACCTAGGCAAATATATCAAAAACAACAACACAAAGGTGTGTACAAACTTAAATGTGGCGACTGCCCAAAAACTTACATCGGTCAAACTGGTAGAAACTTTAATAAACGAATAGCAGAACATAAAAGGGCTTTTAATAAAAGAAAAACAGATTCTACATACGCACTTCACCTTCTAGATCACAATCATTCTTTTAATGACGAATTTAAAATTCTTCACATTTAAAATAAAGGCCTTAAGTCATTCTTCTTAGAATCTATGGAAATCAACAATTTAAAAAACACAGATGTAATTCTGAATGACCAACTTGAGATAAACAGTTCTCCCCTCCTTAACCTATTTTATAAGAGACTATAAAGTGTAAACGCATGCCAAAAATAGATCACTTGAGAAAGGCAATCAGTCGTTTTCAGTGTTTTATTGTTACATTTATTACCTCCCTTCAAATTTCATTTCAGTATAACAATAACCGTTCAAAAGATACGAGGTGAGAATGGACTTTTTACTAACACTGTATGCACCGGTCTATTAGGCGGTACGCCCTTTCGGTAGGGTTCTACGACGGGGTACCAACAAACCGAAAGCCCTTATCTCTTGCCGTAGTGCTCCACTACAGGCCGATCAGACACCAGCCATATTCTAGTCTATGTAGCAAATTCATTTAGTTTTTCTGACCGGACCAAGATCGAATTCAATGCCACTGGATTATTCGGCAGCGAAGAGCAGATCGCCTGCGCCTCTTGGCTATTTGACCGACTAAGTAATTAACTTAACAATCCAAATTTTTACAGTGTATATTGCAAACCATCCCGAGGGAAATAAATAAAACAAACTAAAGCAAAACCCTGCGGGTTTTAGCTAAATGATAAAAAAATTGATACGATCCGGTGAAAATTTAGTTGGCTATAGGACAAACAACAATGACCACGCTTATTTTAGTTTTAAAAGATAACAGAAAATAACGTTCTATTATTAAAGCAGAGACATATAAGTAGCCAGAAAAACATTAATATATAATACAGAGAAGTCCCTACAAAATATGTTTACAAGATAGGGAACAAGAAAAATTAACCGCTACATAAAACTGTTTATTTTATGAACTAGAACTACTAAAATATATTTTCGTTTTATTCATTGTATCTTTCGGACTACTTACAAGCCACACTGGGTGATAAGGAGCACCTCAAATGTATCTAGATTAAGCTAAATTCAAAAATTAGCTTATGTTAAACTTAAATTACATTAAGACGCCATAAGAAAATAGTTTCAGAATAGCAATAAAAAAATGTCAATTTAAAAGAAAAAGAGAAACAACAATACGGTTTCTAACACATTTTAACGAAATTGTATACCTAAAGTCGCTATGGTCATTATCGGAGCTTTGCCTTCCAACACGACTTGATTTATTTTTGCCTCCAAATCTGATGGTAAAATTCTACCTATTTCATCAGTAGCAATTCGACAAACATTTTCCTCGCCAATTCCCAAAAATGCTGCAAATTTGTAAATGGAATAATGGCATTCTTCTGATGCGAATATTATCAGCCGGGGAAGATGGAATGTTCCTTTTTCCTGCAATTAAACAAATAATAATATAAATGTAGTTATCTATTATAATTAAGTTGGTAAACATAAAATACCTACAAGTCCTGACACTTTTTGCTTTATATATGTTTAAGTTAAATATTGTATTTATATGCGATTAGAACATAGCCCCCATCAGCTTTTATAAACTAACAATTATTTGAGAAGCCGTAGAAATTAAAATAAGGCCAAATTGTCTCAATAAAAGAGATAGCAGCCTACGGTTACCTTCGACTTAAAGACCTCTTATAAAGAAAATACCTTCGGCTCCACCCGTTGAAGCGTGTTTAAAATTTCATTAAATTATTCCCCTTAGAAAATTACTTGAACCTTAGAAACCTTAAAAATGACCCATAAGCAAACAGCGATTTGTCATGCCTTTTTCTCAACAACGAAATACCCTACGTCATTTGTTAAATACAAACCCTTCCTCTTAACAAAGAAGTTAGTTTCTATTGTCGAGTCATCCGGCCTACTTTCTAAGAAAAACGAAGATGTTGGTTGTCTATGAAATAATCTTTCCTGTCGATAGAAAGAAATACGACCACACTAGCGTTGTCATTTAAGTATCATTTTTGCGTGGCACTCTTCGGCCAATACTACCACTCTTTTTTTTGTCCCTAGCTTGTCTAAGTATCAGAAATCGATTTTATTTCCAACGTGGTTCCTACATTAAATATTTTCTTCTTTGTTCTATAGACGTCTTCCGATTCGAGGACAAGGAGTCAATTCTGTTTGCCGTTCTACTTCTCTTTTCTTTCTTCCTGCATCCATTCAGTTCAGTCTAGTCTAGTGTGAGAATTAATTTAGGTGGTAATAGTAATTTTGATAATTTCATTTTAAAGCTATATACACATTTTTTATATTATGCAAAACGATCTCAAAGATTTTTATGTAATCCACGAAGCTGAATTTGCTCCTGTCTTGAGGCGTGTTGAGACGAGATGATTATCACTTCTCCTTGCCGTGAAACGTACTACCAAATCTTTCGATATCCTAAAAGATTATTTTATATCATTGGGAGAAGACCAATATCCCACTGCACTGTGGCAATTCTTTAATTTTGATAAAACGGATCCTTCTCTTTTTTACCAGGATTCAGTAGTATGACTTGAAAACGAAACATTGCTGCATTTTTGAAGATCACAAAATATTGATTGAACTAAGCAAAAAATTGGGACAGAGAATTAAAGATGAATAAGATAAACTTTTTTCAAAAACAAAACGTATTGTTGTTGTGCATGGTACAAAATGCTCTACATTACTTAGAAAGTAAATTTAATATCAAGGATAGCAAATTGGACTTACTTAAGCCAGTTTCTCTCCAGGGTGACTGATTTAGTTATGGGTCAATGGTCAACATAATTGAAACTTTATGAAGAATTGTCTAAAATTAAACAAATAGTGAAGGCAGTAGTGCAAAAGAAAAACTTGACACCGCTAAAATATTGCTCAACATTTTTAAAGACAACCAAAACTTTGTCATTCTTCAAAAGTTATTTTCTTTTATGGCTTCAATACCAGTATCAAACGTGGCAAAGGAAAAGGTATTTTCCCAGGCTAACTTCATTTGGTCTGAGAGGCGAAACGTTTGACACTCGAGCATGTTACAGTAGAAATTCCATGGACGTATAAATAAAGATGGACTGGGTATGCCCTGCACTCTGTTCGACTGAATTTGAAGTCGAAAAGTTTATAGGCGCGGGGAAATAGGCGAGGTGATAGACTGTGATATTTCCCGTTTAGTCAGCGGCGTATCTCCCAATAATTGAAAGGCATTTGAAATAGTTTTTTTTATTTGAATAAATAATCACTATAAGTTTGATTGCTTTTATTTTTAGTATCGTAAACATATAAAATATTTCGAATAAGTGAGAAACCATGAACGATAAATAATTTTAATTTTCATTGTATAGAAATTAATATATTTATAAAAATTTACACAAAACAAAAAAGATGGGATAAATAAAATTGCAAAGTACTTTATATAATATTTTATTTAAACTAAAATAATAGAAAAGCAATAAAAAGTTTAAAAGCTTCTTCCCCAAACATTAACCTGTTCAGGGTATTGAGTATGTTCTCTTATCCAGTGAGTGATACGTTGAAAAAATATAGTGAATTATGGTGTATTACTCCAGATTAATTGTTATTTGGCAATGACAAATCTTTATTTATACGTCCATGAGAAAGTCAAATTAAAACCAATTTTACCATGACTTGCAGTGAATTTTATAACTATGTTATAAAAAACAAAGTATTCCTAAATGCAACAAAATCAAATGAAAATTTTAATAAATAATCAATAATTTACTTAATTTACAATTTTGTTTTGTAATTTCGTTTGATTATTATTATGTAACATCAAATACAGATTACAGAAACACCTCGTTTTTTGTTTGTCGCGATCTACAACCCTAAATCCCGATTTGTTTTACCTTATATACCGATTTAAAACAAATTGGACCTGGCAACACTGCTTGTAATTAATATTAAGAAATAATTTAATATTGAAATAACTAATTTGTTTAAATATACATGTAATAGGATATCACACTTACATTTATAAAATGAACACACTATATAGTCAAAGATTGTATCGATGCACAAAAGAAGAAAGATCCCTTATTATAACAAAGTTTCCATAAACTTGACAATTCTTTAACTACACAAAAAATCTTTTCTACATCACACACAAAGTATTCATATTATGTATAAAATTTTTTTTTTGAGGCCTCATCTACTCTTCTTAAACTTCCCCGCGATGCCCTTTTCATGGAAAATATTTTTTAAATTACTCCGGATATATCCTCTTTACATACCTTAACGTCCGGATAACGATGGAATCTGGCCAAATTCACTGCTATTCCGTTTGCAAAAGAGCCCCCTGGACAAAAGAGGCCATCGCCCCATTGAGGACCGATCATACGAGAAACTTCTTTTATGACGTGCTTTTCCTGGAAAATATAAATCTATAGCGTCAACTTTTTTTGGGTGAGTAAATTTATTCAAGAATTGTTAAACTTTAATATACATTAAACTCGTAAGTACATATCTTAACATTTAAATATTAATACCATATATTGTATGTACGTAGTACTGGATTGTATTAATTACTATTTAACTGGGAATAAGCCACAATTAAAGATAAAAATACGTTTATTGACGTTTCAATTTCCACTTCGGAAATCGTTCTCAAAATACAAACAGTAAATTAAACAAATTTTGTTTTTTGTTACATAGTGACAAATTCTTCTAATAATTTAATTTTAGCTGACTCATTAATATTGACAATTCAGACATGCATTAGGCATTTTAAAGTAGACGACTTTAAAATGATATTGCTAATATTGTTGAGTTGCGCTCCTGGGACGACATTACTTATAAGATAGTTCATTCGATTACATGAAATCAACTTTAACTTGAGAATATCCGTTAGAAAAAAATCATAGCGTGTAATTCGTCTTTAAAAAGACAAACACATGACATGATGACAGTAAAATTCTCCTGTTAGTGATTCCATAGTAAATTATGAGGGAAAAACCAGGAAAAAAAACCTCATAATACTATCCCGACATGGTAAGTATTTGTTCGTGCATTTAGTTTACCTTCAATAAACACCAAAATTCTGATTTTATATGTTTCGTTATTTAAAAACCATAAATGATGTATCCTCTATATGTTCCTGACTTACTAATACTGGTATTTTCTTATTAATCAAAGTTTCATCAGAAAAAGTTTAGATTTAATTTGATTATTAGAAATGATTCACGTGGCGCACTCTATGACAAAACGTAAAATTGTAAACAAAATACTATTTGTTGTCTAAGATTATGCCTCTGTGCCAATTTTGATAGCAATTTATAAATATACAAGGAAACTATTAGCAAAAAACGAAAAACAAAAATTAACTTTAACTGTATGTGTATCTTTCTTCTCAGCAACATTTTATTAAGGCATATTTGGCCCAATAGCCCTATTTTGATCCAAATAATCTGTTCTTAGTCTATGTCCCAATAGTTATGACTCACCCTGTATATGTAAGTGGCAAAAATATCAACTTTTTTTTGTTATGGCAGAGCTTGTCATCTAATTTTTGAAAATATTTTCGGTTATTCATTTCAAAAAATGCCAATCAGTAGTGAGAGTGACGCCGAATTGTTTCTACATGAGATTAGTGAAGCTGCTAAAACGGCTACTAATAAAATATTGCCACTAAAATCAAATGAAAAAACAAATACAAAAAATGATCACTACGTTTTATTTAAAAAGAAATGGAACATGATTTTTGCGGTCTGTAAAAGGAAATATGGCATTTCATAAGAGGTCAAAGAACGGAGGTAAATGAACTAATAGGACTAAAACACATAGAAAAGGATACTTAGATTGGTTACCTAAAAAAGCTCTATGCAGAGGAAGATCAAACTACGTTAGAATCGAAAACACCAGAAACACCGATTACCACAAATGAAAATCTATCTATCTATCTATACAGCCCTAAACATCCATCCTTGGATATAGGCCTCCTCCTCCTTGTTCCATGCCTCTCTATCTTGGGCAATTTGCATTCATTTTGACCCGGCGTGTTTCTTCAGGTCATCTGACCATCGCATTTGTGGCCTTCCCCTTTTTCGTTTGTGATTCCATGGTCTGCAATGTATAATTGTCTTAGGCCATCTTTCATCTTTCTGCCTTAGGGTGTGTCCGGCGAACTTCCATTTAAGCTTTGCTACTTGGGTTGAGACATCTGTCACTTTTGTTTTATTACGGATCCATTCGTTTCTTTTTCTGTCTGATAGTTTAATGTTCAGTATTTGTCTTTCCATGAATCTTTCTGTCTTTGCTATTTTTTCCATATTTTCCTTTGTAAACATTTTTGTCGATTCTCTATCTAGTTCTTCCATTATTCTTTGTAATTCTTCACTTTTTTATGTTAATGTTAATTCACGTTTATGTTAATTCCCAAGACATCCCAGTGTAGTTGTTTGAAAACATCTTCTAGCGCTTGGTTGAATAACTTGGGCGAGATGGTATCTCCTTGTTTTTCTCCTCGGTTTATTTTAATAGGCTCCGTTTGTTTCATTAGCTTAATAGTTGTTGTTGCCTTGTTGTATATATTTGTAATTAAGTCGGTATATCGGTAGTCTATTCTGCTGTTTTGTAGGGATTTCTGTACTGCCCAGTGTTCTACACTATCAAATGCCCTCTTGAAGTCAATAAATGCCATGTATAGCGGGATATGATATTCGTTAGTTTTTTCGATTAAAATCTTTATCTTAAAAGGTGGCCACTTGTACTGAAGCTCTTTCTAAATCCGACTTGTTCTCTTGCCTGGTATCCATCTAATTTAGTTGTTCACTTATTTGTTAATATTTTGGTTAATAGTTTGTACATCAAATTTAGTAAAGTTATGGGTCTGTAATTCTTTAGATCCTTTTTATTTCCTTTCTTAAATAGTAACAGTGTTATTGCTTCGTTCCAACCGTTGGGTATTTGTTATGTCATTAGTATTTTATTCATAAGTATGTACAAAACTTCTCTAGTTAGATAAAGAAATAATAAATAAGACTTACTCACAATCAATTTAATTTAACTATCAGACGACCGGTTCCGCTTTCTACAATATGCAAAGCATCCTCAGGTCTCGATACAAAGTTAAACAAATGATGCCGGTACTCTATTAATAGATGGATGGTAGAACATGGTTGAAATTACTTTATATTGTTGAATGGAGAACTCAATTCTATCACTGCAGTTGTTTGACAGTAAACGGGAAGTTCTTGAGAAGATAGATTTGATCCAATGAATTAGAGATATGTGTGAGATTGTTTGTTAAATGTAAGTGATGTAATATACTATTGTGTTATTAAAGGCTATTTATACTTATTCCAGAGATATATTTTTGAAATGTGTGTTATTTATTGAGTAATTGTTTTTTGAAGGTGACAGTTTTATGATAATGAATAGGTATAGATGTAAAGATTGTGTGGGTGTGCAATTATTTTCACAACTTGTAGTTATCAAATTACTTTGATAAAGTTCTATTGGCAATGAGTTAATTATTGGAATAGTCAAGTAAATAAAATGTTTGTATTTTAACATCTTTAACATGGCTTTTATCTTTTAAACATCTTCGTGTTTGGCGGGAAGGGTGTTTTGGATTTTAATATGGGTATCTATGTTTTGTCGATTTTCAGTCCTTCTTCTATCCGATTAAAATTATTTGGGTGCTTATATATTTCCACGTGACGTGGTTCTTGTCAGTTCAAACGATACAGACCAACTCCTGTGGTCCTGTGATCTGTGTCGTTTGAACTGACAGGAATCACGTCACGTGTTCCAGTCTTACGAAGAACCATGTTGCTCTTTAAGTATTAACATTTACAACCAATGTCATCGACCTAGGGTCGCATTATATTTTAATTTTATAGTATGTAAACCACATATTAATATCTCTACTTCAATTTCTGTGTTAGCTACAAGTACAAACAGAATTTACTGAGAATGATCTGATTCAGATTAAAAACGTTATGCATTTTTAATTTTTGGACGACAAGTTTTAATAAAAAATTTTATATTTATACCAATATACAAATTTGAAGTTTTTACTTCTGTATTAGTTTTTTAGCTGTGGTATACAGCCAACTACTGGGATTTTCCCATTCATATTATATAATTAAGTGGCTAATTTGAAGACGACTTTATACTGCTGGATTATCTTCTAGAAGTAGATATACTCGGCCGACTCATTCCCGTGAATAGAGAATTGCCGATAGGTGGAAAGCACTGAATACGATAATTGAGGAACTACATACATAATTCCTAAAAAAGACTGCAAATGAATTTCAGCAAAAGTAGACTAATGACAAACTAAGATGACAAAACTATGATAAACATCGAAGGGACAGAGATAAACCACGTAGACAAATATATATATCTGGGTCAAAATGTCAAGGTTAGCAAAGAAAATTAGAGTACCAAAATAAACAAACGAGTAAAAATTGGATGTGCAGCATTTGGAAGACTCTCATACGTACTTAAAAATAAACCGCCTTATGTGTTTTAAGCCACGCGGCAGCCGACGAGGCACAGACGCTGCGCAAACTGCCCTGTCTGTGTTTAGCCTTAAAACTTTTTACACATTTCGTACAGCTCAAAAAAAAGCGATAGTGGTAAATCGTTTTCGTTTGAGGTCATCAAAACAGGTAACCCTTTTTTCAGCTTACCACTCGAGAAGTGGGAAATAGCAGGACAATTCGCTGGCTTTCCGTGATATAATGCAAATCAAAACATAGTCTATTTTTCATTTGTGATGCAATTACATTTTTATTAAAAATATCCATTGCTCCCCAAGTTTAATATTTTTAATTTACATATACTTTAAATAAATCTAAAATATTTTATAGCTATTTTAATTTGACCTTAGAGTCATCACTAGACTTCGGCAAATATGCATATTGCATATTTTGCATATTGTGCATATTTTATGCAAATTTTTCATATTTTGGCATATTTGTATAAAAGTTTGCATAAAGTGCATAAAAGTTCAGATTTTTATACTGTATTTGAAAATTTTTAAACGTACCAATTTATTTCAATTCTTGTATAAAATTTTGTAGTCATTTTAATCAAGAAATGATCTAAGTACGTAATCTATACAGGTACAAAACATTTACAATTTCAAAGAAGATCAATTTAAGTAGCCCTCAACATTCTTAGAAAGTCTCGGTCACTGAGGCATTCAGTTATTGGATAATCGCTAAGGGTTCGCTCATTTGCATTTTATGATCTAATCCCCAAATCTATCTACAATTTATTGTATCCTTACAGCAGGTAAATGGCTAATAGTTTTGTTCCTAATTTAGGGATTTTCCAAAATCTCCCAGTTTATTGAATTAGGTACCTAAACATTTCTAATTTGATGCTCAGATTTGTAAATCATTTTTGTTTTGATATTCAAAGCGTAAACACTCGTTGTGCATAACAAAAAGGAAGATTGTGATTTTATAATGCCTAAAACAACCAGTGCTTCAACTTGGATTAAACCTTATAAAGAGCTGTCTATGGATATGAGAAAAATCTACTGTTCAGTCTGTGGCAAAATTGTAAGTATCTAATATTTTCTATTAAATATCTAATATTTCATACATACAGGGTGTTTCCAAATGACACTTACAACGTTTGACTGTAGATACTTCTCGAAAAATTGAACAAAACGATATAGTTAATGAGGGGTCAAACTTATTTACTTTTCGAGATACAGGGTGTTAAAATTAAAAAAAATTAAATTCTTTTAGTTAGTAACAACAATAACTTTAAAACCAATAAACGTATTTACTTGAAATTTAGTACTCGTAGGTTGTTTTTAAATGAAAAATAGCTTCCTTTAGTGAGAAAAAATTGTCCATGGTACAATACAATGGTGTGTATTTAGAAAAATTTTTCACCTTTACTTTTTTTTATGAAGTCAGCTATTCTAAAACACAATTATTTTTATTGTAATTGAATTAACAAAAAAACAACTTTTGTTGAATTTTAAAATAAGTTATATGATGTACTAATGGTTAGTAATAAAAACTAATTTGTGGATTAATACTGCATTTAAAACACTTAGCGAGTGTTTTTTTTTCCAAGCCAGTTATTTGATTAACCAAAAACACCTTGTATATTCTTATATTTTAAAGGTTGGGTTAAAATAAAGGTTTTTATTTTTATTTATAGATAGCATGTGAGAAGAAATTTCAGATAGACCAACATGTGAGAACTGCTTCACACATTGCAAAAAAAGGAAAAATAGGAGGAAAACATCAAACTTCAATGGCTAAATGTTTCCAATCTACTTCAAAAAAATTAGATGAGCAAGAAACTTTTAATGAAGACTTGTGTCGCGCATTAGTGTCTGCAAACATACCGCTTTCAAAATTAGCAAATGTAAATTTTAGTTCGTTTCTAAAAAAATATTGCAAACTTAATGTTCCAAGTGATCGGTCTCTAAGAAGAAATAATGTGAACGGGCTATACTCGTCGGTGTTAATTAATATTAAGGAAGAAATTGCAGATAATTATTTTCACATATCTGTAGACGAAACCACTGATTCCTCAGGAAAGTATATTGCTCATTTATTGATTGGTGTTCTTAAAGAAGATTTCTTACCAAAATCTCATTTTAGTTCATGCCAGTAACTTGAGAAAACAAATGCTTTAACAATTTCTCGTTTTATACAAGAAACATTAGCAACTTTTTTTCTTCCGACAACTATTCCTTCTAATAAATTACTGCTTATTTTATCGGATGCTGCTCCTTATATGGTGAAAGCAGGACAAAATTTAAAAATATTTTTCCCAGATTTAATACATGTTACTTGTGTAGAGCATGGATTAAATAGAGTTGCAGAGGAAATACGAAAAAAGTTTCCTCTTGTAAATACCATGATATCCAGTGTCAAAAAAGTATTTCTTAAATCTCCTATAAGAATTCAACTTTATAAAGAAATGCTACCTAACATTCCTCTTCCACCAGAACCTATTTTAACGCGATGGGGAACATGGTTAGAAGCAGCTAATTTTTATGCAGATCATTTTGTTAAAATAAAGAACATAATTGATACGTTAACAGATGAAAGTTCCCAATCTCTTTTGGATTCTAAACAAACATTTCAGAGTAACTTGCTTCAACAAGAACTTTCATTTATAAAATCAAATTTTAGTTTTGTTCAAAAAACAATTACTCAGTTAGAATCACCAAAACTGTCATTGTTCGAAAGTACAGCATTAATAAAAGAATTTGCGTCATGTTGTCGGAACGTTAGAGGTAATATTGGAAAAGATTTTTTAAAAAATTTGAAGCTTTTATGGAAAAAATAAAGGTTACCATATTCTTTCTGAAGTAGTCAGTGTTCTAGCTGGAAATATTTCGGAAACAATTAATTTAGAACCAAATGTTTTGGTTAGTTTGAAAAATGCTCCCGTTACATCAGTTGATGTTGAACGAAGTTTTTCCATATATAAATATATGTACTCAGACAGAAGCCACAAGTTTTTGTTAGAAAATTTTGAACACCACTTGGTCATTTATTGTTACCATAATTCTAAATAACTTTATTCATACTTAAAAATGATGTAGTTACTTAAAATAAATGTAAATCTAAATGAATAGTAGGAAATATTTAGTTATGTACACTTTTTTTTTTTAAATAAAATTGTTACTATTTTACGATTTTTTTATTTATTTGTATGCATATTTTGTAAAATATTTGCATAATTTCGGGTAAACACTTGCATATTTATGCGCATATTTTCTACATTTTTATTTGCATATTTGCCGAAGTCTAGTCATCACAATATTAAAACAATATAATATGGGGTTATGAATTTGTGTGGATCAATAGGAAAATATATTTTTCAATCCAATTTAAAAGGCATTAAAAAAGATGTAAACAGTAATTTTATTTAATTTTTTTTAACATTCAAGAAAAATCTGTCTCTCTTCTGTTCCTTATAGAAATACTACTTAAAACTGTATTAAAGAACGTGTAAGAACTATATAAATACCCGAGAAAGAACATACATAAAAACATCACCACGAAAGTAAACAAAAACAAAAATCCATTTTACTTACCATGAGAGTAAATACAGGAGCTACCTCGTAGGTATATACACTAGCATTAAGTGAATCCGTCAGCCATTGTGCTGCCAATCCGTACGGGTCCAGTCTAAAAGGACAGAGATATTCGATATTAATATAAAATAAATATTTGGTAATGTTTGAGATTCGGCAAAAAATGACCCCGATCCAGAAATTCCGTTTTTTTTGTTCCAGAAATTTTTTAAAGGAAGAAGGCGTTATCGATTGGAAAAGTAAAAAAACGAGGTCACTTTTTATTTTTATTAATAGATTAAAATCTGTAGCAAAAGATATATTTTTTTGTTTGTTAACATTTTTTTGAAGGTAATTTTTGGAAACTATAGTTAAAATGACTATTAAGAAAATCAAAAGTAATCGATATCCCAGTAATACAAGTAAATTACAAGACGTTCTGAAACTGTTTTTTTTTTTGTAGCATGTTTAAAATAAATCTTCTTTTATATGGTTTTAAACCTCACTAATCGGTAATGTCGGAGTACTTAAGTACGGAGGAGAAACTTTACATAGACAAGTACACAAACTAACATTTATATGGAACGAAGAGAAAATACCAACAAAATGGCACGAAAGTGTAATAATTCCTATCCATAAAAAGGGAGACAAAACCAAGTGCTCTAACTATAGAGGCACCTTCCTACTTAATACGGCGTACAAAATCTTATCGAACATCCTATTAAGTAGACTAACACCTTTTGTAGAAAATTTCATAGGGGAATACCAAGCCGGATACAGAAAAAATAGATCGACCATAGATCAGATTTTTACTCTCAGGCAGCTGCTTGAAAAAGGATGGGAATTCAATAGAACCATTCATAATCTCTTCATAGATTTTCGACAAGCATACGACAGCATTAAAAGGGATCAGATGTGGAATGCAATGGCAGAATTTTCAGTTCCAAAAAAACTTATCCAGCTCGTTAAAGTTTGTGTAAATGGCTGTAGATCTAGAGTGCGGATAGGTAACAAGCTCTCAGAGTCGTTTGAAATAAACAGTGAACTGAAACAAGGAGACGCGCTGTCACCTCTTCTTTTTAATATAATCCTGCAAAAAGTAGTAAGAACCGCACAAATTATAACAGAACTACTGACAGTAAATGGACCAAAATTACTACTAGCATACGCGGATGACATTGACATTGTAGGAAATACCGTCACCAATGTAAAAGAAACCTTCAATAAATTAGAGAGAGAGGCAAAAAATACCGGTCTAAGGGTCAATGAAGAGAAAACCAAATATATGTGCATTAACAGACAAAAGAGACGAGATAGAATAGGACAAAATGTAACAATAGACCCCTATAACTTTAAAAGAGTGGAGAGTTTTAAATATCTCAGAGCGACTATCACCACAGATAACGATATCACGAAAGAGATAAAAGGGAGAATTTAGGCAGCAAACAGATGTATGTATAGCCTCCACAACACTATTAAATCCAAGAGCCTAACACGAACATCAAAAATCAGGATATATAAAACAGTAATTAGACCGGTGCTCATGTATGGGTGTGAGACGTGGACGCTGACAAAAGCAATGGAAAGTAAACTCAGATGCTTTGAGAGAAAAATCCTCAGAAAGATCTTCGGTCCCTATCACGATCCGAATACTAACCAATACCGCATGAGAACAAATGCCGAGGTCAAACAAATGTATAGTGCTAGCGACGTAGTCTAAGAGATTAAATCCCAACGTCTAAGATGGGCTGGCCGTGTTCATAGGCTCCCTAATAACCGCCTTACCAAGTTAATCTGGGAAGAAGTCCCGACAGGGAGAAGGCCCTTAGGACGTCCACGAATGCGATGGAGAGATAATATATGGTCAGATTTAAAAACAATGGGGCTACCCACTGACTTAAACATCATGGACGACCGTTCGAGATGGAAGCAGGTTGTGCAGTTAGCCAAGACCCACCCCGGGTTGGTAGTGCTACCAGAAGAAGAAAAAGAAGAAGAATCGGTAATGTCACGTTTAAGCTTAAACGTATTAGAAAACCCCAAAGAACTCCAAAATTAGATATTAGAAAACTTAAAGAAGCTGATTAAAAAAAAAACTACAAAAAAAAATATAAGAAAAATTTGATAAATTAGATTACGTCTAAGAGATAAACCAAGAATGGGAAACATTAAAACACTGCCTCCTCGTTCCATGCAAAGACCGATATATAAAAAGAATCGATAGGATAGAGATAGAGAGACAACTGGATGACCGTCGAAATATTTGGCAGGATGGACCACAGAAGACAAGCCAAAAACAAAGACAGTCACAATTACAAAATAATTAACAATGAAACCAGAAAAATGATGAGAGAAGCAAAACGAACTTACTATGAGAAGAAATGTAAAGAGATAGAAAATCTTCAGAACAAATACGACCTATTCAACCTACATAGAAACGTTAAAGAAATGGCAGGGCTGCAAAAAAGAAACCACAACATAGCTCTTTTAGATAAAAATGAAAATACTATGATAACGACTGACGAAAAGCTAAAACTATGGAAAAGATATATGGAAGAGCTCTTCGACGACGAAAGAGAAGACCTACAAGACATATCTTTATCTTTCAAGGATAGAGAAACAAGTACGGAAATTGCAAAGAAAGAAATATTTTATGTACCAAAAAACATCAGAAATGGAAATTTTTTTTTCTAAAACTCGAATTCCAATCTGTACATAATTTTTGTCGATAAAACCGACAAATATATAGGTATTTTACATAATTGAATGCAACAGACAAATATTTGAAAAAATATTACTTCACCGTTTTACGAATTGACAAATTTTATGTACACAAATTATATTATTATACAGTAAGATATTTAGATTTATTTTTTTCTTCTTCTCTGCCTTTATTTATCTACAATAATATATCATAGTATAAATTTTGAAAAATTTTAGTTGAAAAAGCGATTTTATTTCAAATTATTAGCTATTTGTTATTCTTGTATTAAGTATAAACTAATGAATTTAAACAGTCAATATTATTTGTTCTTTTAGTAAACTCACCCGGAAAACAATTGATTTATAAAATAAGGATGACCAGTCTTAACGCTGAACTTGATTGTATTTCTCAAGAAGGTAATCAACTTGTCATGAGTTTCCCCATTTTGCTTCAAACTGAAATCGAATTGTTCCTCTAACTCTTCGGGAGTTTGCCAGAGTAATACTTTATCTTGTCTTGTAGTAAACACTATGTTTTTAAACATCAAATCGACGACTTTTTCCAGAAACTCGCCGTGTTTTTCTATTTGCGGTATGGGGCTAAAATCGATGTCCATTTTTATCGAAATTTTAACGAGAACTAAACAGTAGCTTGACTAACTAATTTAATTATAAATAATTCGTTACAATTTCCTTATTAAACCTCCGTTACATGTACCAATTATGTTTAAACGGTCAGCAGCTAATACACATTGGCCACAACCAGATTTTATTAACTGATTACTGCAATAATTGGTCTTCCTGATAATATATTTAGTATTAAATTACATTAACCACGTAATGAAATATTTTATCTTGATTTAAATAGTCGAATTTATCTACAATTTTAAACGTTTTTATTTAATATTGGCTAAATCTAAAATCGCATTTTTTTATTAAAAGAAAACACTGCACCTACGATTAACCAACAGTTTCATTTATCCTAATTTACTATATTTCACTACACAAAGCATTGATTATATTCCTTAATATTCTAAAACATCGCATCCCAAACTTTCTTCTTTCGTAAACTGCTTATCTTGTTTTTTATTTTAGATGGACCCCCTTCCATTCCTTTTTAAAGATTTAAATTTTTAAATAAATTATAGCAACTGTTACATGAAAACAAAATTAAAAATAAATTATTTTTTTTATTTCGAAATAATGTGCCTCAACGTCTTTAGTCATTGATACTAGAGCAAAACTTTACAATAGTACCTACACAGTAATAATACCGAGTTTACAATAATAGTAAACAGTAGACAATAGTAAAGAGTAAGTAAAGAATAACAATATTATGTTAATTATATTTTGTTAAACAACTGTGTATTTCTTAAGAAGTCTATTAGGCTCTTAAGTCGCCTAACTCACAGTTTAGTAGTTCTTCTAAACTGTGGGTTATGCTGTAGCATGTTGAAAATTCCTTAAAACTTTCTACTCTTTAGGTATAAAAGTTTCTAGTACGTCTCCGACCCGAGTATAAATAGTTCCCTGTTTATTTGTGATGTAAAAGAAAAAAATCTTAAATTCTGGTTATAACTAGGACGTTAAATATGGTTAGATTTATTTGTATGCGTTAGTTCTACGATTTTAAGAAGTTGTTTGCTTCAAGGTCGTTTTGCGATATGTTTAACAGGAGTTTTGGGTTGTTTGACTACGAGAGCGGTAAAGAGTGTGAGACGCAAAAACTGGTAGCCCCTGCCGGTATTAGGTAGGTCGAAGGAGTTCAGGTTAAAAAGGCTAACGAGAGTATGCAGACGTTTTAATTAGTCGGTAAAGAGGCCTTTAAAATTTGTTAAAAATAGTAATATGTCAGTTTACGAGGACGATAGAGTTACTAGCTTAGGAAAAGAAACAACAATATTTAAAATGGTTGGCAACAAAAAATGAACAAGATGTGGAAGATTATAAACAAATAAAAAGACAATTAAGAGCGGGAATTAATTTAGCTAAGAACGAGACGTGGGATAAGAAATGTGAAGAAGTTAACAATTATATCAGAGGAAGGAAATGCTCGGAGGTATGAAAATTTATATCAAATGTCAAAAACCCAGCAAAGGACAGAGCAAATATCCAGATAATCAAACTGGAGCAGTGGATACAACACTACAAAGGTCTACTACAAGAAACTAGACAAAAATACATGATAGAATCCCCAAAACATTTTGTAGTAAATGGAGAAGAAGTAAAGGTATCCGAAGAAACAGTAAAGAAGACAGTTTTGAACCTTAAAGTTAGGGAAAGCTAGCGGACCAGAAGGGATTTTCTCCGAAATGTTAAGATGGGGAACGGAAAAACTCTTTAGAAATCTAACAATAATTGTCAATAAATGCCTAAATAGACATCCTGTTCCAGAAGACTGGAAAACAGCTTATATATCATCCATGAATTAAAAAGGAAATAAACTGGACTGTAACAACTATCGAGGCATATCAATCACGAGTACACAGTAGAATACTGCGAGATCTAATTGAAGAAGACTATAGAGAGAAAGAAGAAGAAGAAGATCAAAGTGGCTTTAGAGCAGGCAGATCGTGTACCGACAACATATTTTGTCTAAAACAAGTCATAGAGAAGAGATCTGCTATACATCTGGAAACCCATCTTACATTTGTGGACCTACAAAAAGCATATGATTCAGTCCCAGTATCGGGACTGTGGAAGCTATTAGAACAAACGAATATCAATCACAACTATATAGCTGCACTTAAAGAACTGTATGAAAATTCACAATCAAGAATTAAGATAGGTAAAAAACTCACAGGTGCCTTCATAGTGAATAAGGGACAAGAAAATCATTTAAAACAAAAAATCCAATTAAATGTAATAAAACCGATTAATAAATAAAAAGTAAATAAAAACAGCTAAAAAGAGAATGGTACGTGAGCAATGTTAAAACTGGAAGAAATTGGGACAAATATGACTTTTTTAATATGCTGAAAAGAATTAGAGAACTAACAGGAATGAAAAAATCACTTTAAACTAGGCTACTAAGAGATGAAATTGGTGCCCTTCTAATAAATATAAATCAGAAAATCCAGAGATGGATACAATATATATCACAGCTTTTTGAAGACAAAGAGAAACCAGAAGAACCAAAAGAATGAAATGAACGAATGAAACCAGCCAAAACTGGTAGATCTCCCGTGCCTGATAAGGTTTTCATCGAATTAACTACAACTGTGGATAATAAATCCATTAAAATTTTTTTGGATCTATTTATTATCATATCTGGAACAGGTAAAATACCTAAAGAATGATTTAAATGGACATTTATACTGCTTCCCAAAAAAGCTAATGCAAAGGAATGTAATGAACAACGCACGATAGCCTTAATGAGTCATGTCTTGAAACTCTTTAAGAATAATTAAGGTAAAAGATATGTAGGTAGGTAAATGAGAAATCAAGAACGTTATGGCCTTCTCCAGCTGATTCTCCAATGGAAGACTGTTCCGCGCTGCAGTAAACAAAGTAAAGATGGCCATGATGATCGCCAACATCCGGAACGGATAGGCACTTTAAGAAGAAGAAAGGTAAAAGGGATTTGCTAAATCCCACAAATGGGTTTATGAAAATATTAAATTTAAAATTAAAGCTTCTTCTTCTTAACATGCCATACAATAAAGTGCGTAGGCGACTATCTCATTACTAGAATTATATTCTTGGTGGCGTGACACAGCTCACCTGTATTGTGTATTCCTGTCCATTCTTTAATATTCCTTAACTAGGTAAATTGTTTGCGGCCGGCTCCTCTCCTACCTTCGATCTTCCCTTGTAGGATTAACTGTGGTATTTCATATTTTGCTCCTCTCAAAATGTGCACAAGGTAACTATTCTTGCGTTGTTTAATTAATTCAAAGAGTTCTCTTTCCACGCCGGCTCTATTAATGACGTCATCGTTTCGGACTCTATCCACCCAAGGTATGCGCATCATTCTTCTTAATGACCACATTTGAAATGCTTCAAGTTTGTTGATAGATGTTTTTTTCAAAGTCCACGTTTCCATGCCATAAAGCAAGATGGACCATATGTAGCACTTGACCATTCTGTAGCGTATTTCGAAATTTAGGTGTTGATTACATAGGAGCGGTCTGAATTTCACAAAAGCTTATCTTGCCATTTGTATTCGGGTTTTTATCTCGTGTTGTGGATCCGATTGGTCATTGATTGTGGTGCCAAGGTATTTAAAAATTTATTTATTTAGGTATTTATTTAGAAGTTTTCACGCGATTTATACGATTGTCACCTATGCATATTATCGGGTTTTCTGGAGAGTTTCTGCTAATGGCCATATATTTCGCTTTCAAAATGTTGATTTTGAGGCCATATTTTTTACCTATGCTATTCACCCTATCAAGTAATAACTGCTGATCTTCAAACTTATCAGTTATAATCACTGTGTCGTCCGCATAGCGTAAGTTGCTAATTGCTACGCCGTTCACCTTAATGCCTAATTCCGTATCTTCTAATGCTTCCGCAAATATATTTTCAACATATAAATTAAAAAGCATCGGAGAGAGTATGCAACCTTGGGGGACACCTTTCCGGATTTCAAATTCATTCGTATATTGGTCTTGATCAATCTTCACCTTTGCCATTTGGTTCCAGTATAGATTCTGAATAATTCTGATCTCCTTCTGGTCAATGTTGGCCCTATGTAGTAGTTCCATCATGTTATCATGTTTAACATTGTCAAATGCCTTCTCTTAGTCGATGAAGGTGAGGTAGACATCTTTTCGTTGATCTAAGCAGTTTTGTATTAAGGTGTTCAAACATAAAATTGCCTCTCTTGTTCCTAGTCCTCCCTTAAAACCGAATTGTGTTGACCCGCTAAGTTCTTCTAGTATCTTGTACATTCTTGAGTGTAATATCCTAAGGAAGAGTTTCAACAAGTGACTCATTAAACTGATTAAGCGGTGTTCATTGAATTTGTGGCATTAGCTGTTTTTGGGATCATCACAAAGGATGACTGCAGCCATTCTCGCGGAATGTAACCAGTATCATAAATTCTATTGAACAGCCTTACCAAGATTTCGATATTCTCCTCGTCTAGTAGTTTTATTGCTTCTATAATAATTTCATCTGGACCTGTTGCTTTATGCATCTTTGTAGTTCTGCATATTCTATTTTAGTTCGCATTATTGATGACCCTGATAAGTTTTCGGAAGGAAGTTTGCGCGTTGGTTGTGTTGGTCTTTCGTCATTAAGAAGGCTTTCTGCGTATTCTTTCCACGCCATTGCTATCTCCTCTTCTGACTCTATGTATTCGTTTTTGTCGTTGCGTATTCTTGTTCTGTGGTGGCTTTTGTGTATATTCGATATTTCTTTGATCTTCTTATGTAGTCCAAAACTATCTCCTTTTTCCTGCAATTGTTCTATTTCGTTGCACCTTTCCACCATCCAACGTTCTTTTGCTCTCTTAATTTTCTGATGGATTTCTTTGTGTATCTGTTATTATGCATTTATTATGCATTCGTTATGCTTTCTCTTTCTGATCTGTGTTTTAACTTCCCTGTTTACTGCCAGAATCGTTCCTTTAATATCATTGACCATCTCTTCGATATTATCATTTTGTTCT